ATTTGGGACATACCTGAATATGGAAATTCTTCCGACCCGCATTCTTCTTCTCTCCATTGCTAGCAAAATTATTTCCCGAGTTTTGCGCCCGTGGAAACCTTCCTTTGTTGTTGTCATCATTCCTTCTCATATTTGAGGCTCTGTCTTTTTCTCTTGCATCCTCAGCCTCCTTCATACTTGCTTCAATATCTCTGCACCTGTTTATTAATGATGAAAAATTCCTGATTTGGTGTCCTATTATCATGCTTTTTAGTTCAGCTTTTAGTCCAGATTCAAATTTAGTTGTCAGCCATTCCTCATTAGGTTGATTTTGTATATAATTAGAATATCTGGATAATTCCTCAAATTTTGTCACATATTCTCCAACAGTCATGTTTCCTTGTTTCAGTTCAAGGAATTCTATTTCTTTTCTGTTTCTTACACTTTGAGAAAAGTATTTTTTCCAAAAAGGCATCTTTAAAGATTGTCCAAGTAATCTCTGTTCCTTGGCTTTGGAAATATCTTTTGGTATTTGTCCACCAATGCTCTGCTTCTCCAATCAATAAGTATGTAGCAAAATTTACACGATGAGTATTAGGACAGTCCATTACCAGGAATATTTTCTCAAGTTCTTTCACTCATTCCATGGCTACCTCAGGGTTATAATCTCCACAAAAGTGGAAGGTTTATGCTTACGGAATTCAGTGAGTCCTTTATAATTAGAATTAAGTCCTCCCTGAGTATTTGTCGTTCTAGGTCCATTTTCACTTTCAGAATTATGAGTGTGATTTCTGGTTGCACGATCCTCCCTCAGCTCCTGAATAATTTGCTGATTAGTCATAGTTTGTTCTCTAAGAGCTTCTGCCACTCGGGTAAATGCATCCATTACTGGGTTAACTTCTGGTTCAGAAGTTGAAGAAGATATTTGCCTTGTATCTTCCATAGATCTACATATATTTTTTTATGATAGTGAGTTGATCAGGCTAATTAAAATAACTCAAAATATGCATGATTTATAACAAAATACCAAGCAACTATAATAGTTTAGGTTCTTTATTTACCTGAACCGCTGCTCTGATACCATAAAATGTAACATCCTCTATAACTGACTATGATAGAGGATATCACATTAATTCTTAAATCTTATTTTAAATAAGAGAACGAGAATTATAATGAAATTCTAATGCAACGGATATGAAATAAGTCATATGACAAAATATTCATAAAATTTAATTATATAGAATTTAAGTTCATTATTACATCAGAAATACATCATAATCTAAATTGAAAAGAAACATTTTTTTTATTTGCTCCACTAAGCTCCGTATAGTCTTCAAATTCTTAATTCATAGTGCGTAATCCTACTCCAAAGCTATACATACTGGCAGGTTTACTCTGAAAAGATTAGCATAAAATAAACACACGTGAGATAAATCTCAGTAATATTGGGGTTTTCGAACTATAACCAATCCAGCCACTTTAGTGAAAAATATCATTCTCACAGAATAAAATTTATAATAAGAAAATAATATTATAAACAATAAATATAAGCCCAACCTTTGTGGGTTCTTCATTCAGTCATACCCAACCTTTGTGGATTCTATCCAAACTTTGTGGGTTCTAGATACATATATAGGAACATGTAATCTTTAACTGAAATGACTAATGCTCAATTTTGGAGCGCCCAAACTCTGTGAGTTCTGTATGGCGGAGCTCAAGCCATGATAAGGCGTCCCTTACCCTATAACCATTCTGATCCTCTTGTGGGTCAGTCACATCAGAATCATTCAGTAAAAGATTACATATTCCATTAGTATTTATTTGGTACCAAAGAAATTATTTAATTTCTATAAACTTGATTATTCTCATATCTAATATAAGTAAATTCATCAAATTCACAAAGCCAAATATAGAAAATAAAGTAAAAAAGTAGAAAGAATTCATAAAATAATTTTGGTAGAGTAACGATATATTCACAACTTTTAAAGAAATAACTCTAAAATACCAACTTTAAATATAACATAGATAAAAAATAGAACCAACATAGCTTTTCTAAAATATCTAAAAATTAACTTTTAAAAAAAATAAAGGAGAGAATGAGTTGCTTACTCCCAATATTACCTTTCCCTTTTCTTTTCTTTTCTCTTTTCTTTTCTTTTTTTTCCTTTTTTCTTGCGATGTATACGCTCTCCTCTCTCCCTAATTGTTTTCTTTCTTCTTCCAAAATCTCAAAGTGTACACATATATATAGATGCTAATTTATTTTCTTTTTCATTTTTTTTTCTTTAACAAAATCCAAAAAAATCTACTTTATATAACTTCCTAAGTAAGATAGTTTACTTGACTTTGAGAGATGACATATTCATGCTCCCATCAGCTTGCTGATCTTCTTTCCTTTTATTTTATTTTATTTATTTATTTTATAATATATTATTTCAATTATTTTTAATATTTTAATTTGTATTTGCTTATATTTTATTCTTTTTATTCTTTTTATTGTAGTAATAATAATAATCATTTATTTATTATTATTTTATTTCATATATATATTTATATATATATATATTATTACTTTGATTATTATTATTATTATTTTTTTTTTTCGATTATTACAAAGGGCACAAATTCTATAAATAGAGACTTAGACCCCAGAGAAGTAGACTCGCCAACACATGCAAGTCTTGGCCCAGTAGTGAAGAAACCCTTTTACATGTTATGAGGGACTGCCCACATGCCCGTAGCATTAGGTTAATAGAAGGGAGATGCATTATTTTTTCCATTCTAATCTAGAAACTAGACTTTGGAGAAATATGGATAAGCGAATCAATAGCAACACTCTGAAGGATTGGAGAGACTTTCTTCACCTCTTATTGGTTTATTTGGAGTTGGCGTAATAGCTCTATACATGAAACTGATTTCACTAGGCCCATTAATGGTCATGAGGTGATTTTAGCTTATATCAGCTCCATTGAAAAAGCTAGAAGCAGAAACAAAGCTGGGCCAGCATGCCTAGTGAAGTTTGGAAGCCCCCTGATCATGGCTTCTTAAAGCTTAACGTGGATGGTACCTCCTCCAGATGTCATCATTCTGCTGGCTATGAGGGATTATCGAGAGACGAACAAGAAAAGTTCATAGAAGGCTTTGCTCAGAAGCTGGGATTTTGTAACCCATTAGAAGCAGAACTTTAGGGTATTCTTAAATGATTAAAGCTTGTCTGGGGAACAAGAGCCCGAAGAATATGACTGGAGAGTGACACAACAAAAGCGCTTAATATCCTTCAAATGGATCATGATCTTGCTAGAGACTCATGTGTATCTCCCAGAATCAAATAGTGGCTTAAGAAAGATTGGACTATTAAAATGAGCCATAAACCTATGGACAACAATCATTGTGCCCACTGGTTAGCTAAGGTGTCCTCCGATATAGCCCATGGAACCAAGATCTTCATTGTTTCCCCACCTGACTTGCAGCAACTATTGCACTAGGATGCTGGCAATAGTATTGATTCTGCTAGTTTTTTCAAGTTTTGTTTTTGGGGGGCCAGCCCCTCCTTTTGTACTAAAAAAAATTAATATGCAATTTTTTAATTGGCAATTGACATGTAACATGCCACTTTAATTCATTTCAATTACTATAACCTCATTACCCTCGTATGTATTATCTAAGGGGGGTAATTTTTAACACGATACGAACGCAACACAACACAAAGAATTTGTGTTCAGGTCGACCCATTTTCAAATTCGTGTTAGCAAAATCTGACCAAAAAAATTGGGTCGTGTCGTGTATTAACTCGCAAATCTAAAATTGACTCACGTTAATCTTCTTACAAATTATTTGTGTCATGTCATGTTGTAAACAAGTTATTCGTGTTTTATCATATTGTGTCAAACCGCATAATAAGTATCACAGTTTGGGGTTGACTGGTTATTTGTATTATGTTATGTCGTGTTAACCCGCATAATAAGTACTACACTATAAGTTTGTTGAGATATTCATGTCGTATCAACTCGCAAAATAAGCATGTCACATTCGTGGAGAAGGTTTTAACCCAATTTCAAATTCGTGTCGCGTTTATGTTGAGTATATTCATATTCGTGTTGTGTCGACTCAAATTATCCTTAACATTAGTTATTAGAAAATTGGAGAATATTAGTCTCATGTTACATGGGATTAGCTCTCTCATGCTATGGAGAGAATCCAAGTGAGGTCCACCATTAAAAAACAAAAAAGAAAAAGAAAAAAGAGGGGGTGCGATTTTCGAAATGAGATGAAATGAGATAACTATCTCATGTAAAATGAGAGTAGTATTTTCCTAGAAAATTATACTTTTGTGTAAAAGTTTTAGTTATTAGACGAAAGAGCTACATACATATATAACATTAAAAAACTTTCAAGTGAAGTAGAATATGAATATAACACAGAGTTTGAGTTTAGACCTATGTAGCACCGATACTGACACGGGACACGTGACACGACACGACACTCCGACACGTTAATTATAAAAAATGTTAGATTTCGACACGTTAGGACACGTTTTGAAATTAAATAATATTTTTAATTTATGTACTGTATATTATATTTAATATTTAATAATTTAAAAAAAAATAAAGTTAAACTTATAATACTTATCAATTTTGCAAAGAAACATAAGATATCCCAAATATTTATATTAAACTCAATAAAATAGTAATCGTAATCCAACGAATCTAATAATTGGAACTAAAAACGCAACACAACGCAACCTTTGAACCATTCTTTGAATTTCCACAACACGTGTTGGAGTGTCGGAAAGTATCGAAAAGTATCGTAAGTGTCAGACACAACACGTCAAAACTTTTAAAGTATCAGTGCTTCGTAGGTTTAACATTTTGTTCTTGTTGCAATTCAGTTGCACTGTGGGGGTAGAACTATCTCTCCGCACGATAATAATATCTTCAAAAGAATAAAATAAAATAAAATAAAATATTTTTTCTAATAAAAAAGAAAAAAGAAAATTAAATCTCTCTCACTTCTTCGTTCGTTTCCTCACGACACTTACCACTTTCACTTCCACATTTTCAGTTTTTCCCTTTCGTTCTGGAGCTGTGATCCTCTGCATCAATGGCCACCGTGCAGCTCGAAACCCTAGCCCTTTCTCGCTCCTCCGTGCCCCTTCCGGCTACCTTCTCTCCTTCGATCGCCGCCTCCTCCCTCTCCGGCCGCCGGAGCTCTGCCACGTTGCCGCGATACACAGGTCTCAAACTCCGACACGTCGCTGCGACTCGTTTTCCGAGTCACGCCGGCTCGACAATCGCTCCTCGTTGTGGACGCGTCGTGTGCGAGGCCCAAAACACCGCCGTTGAAGGTTAGGTTTCAATTTCGTGCAAAAAGGAACGAGAAAGTTGTTAGGGTTTTGTTTTGAAACTGATGAATTATTGAAAATAATTAGGTGGAAAAAAATAATACCCAGTTTGTTCGTGTGGCGTATCTGAATGGAAAATTTGATCTTTTTTGGTTTTTTAGGTTGATTAATTGTTTAGGTTCTGTGTGCGTTTTATGATCCTTTGGTTGTGCTTTTGTTGATGTATAAGAATTATCCTTATTATTTGATCCTTTAAGAATTTTGATTAGTGAAGCTAAGAAAATAGCTGTTTGATTTTGTTGTCTTTCTCTTCTTTTTCTCTTCTTTTTTATATGACACTTAATAGGTTCTAGAAAATAGCTGTTAGACTTCTAGAGTTTGGTTGTTTCTCTCTCTCTCTCACTTTTTCGTTATATATAACCTAATTATAATTTGTAGCTCCATTGTTAGTGTGTTATGCTTGTAGTCATCACTTAAAAGTCACTGGCAATCTATTACTCTTTTCATTTTCTTCTGGCATCTCTCCCTTTGTTCCATAACCTCTTGTGGAAGCAAAATATATGTCTACATGAATTTTAAATATTTTATGTATGCTTGTATGCAATCCATTTCTCTACTACTCTGGTCTGTATAGCAGACTTTACAGCCTTAAAAGTTGGTCTCCTTTTTCCAGTACCAGAAATGTCCCCTTTGATAGTGTTACTTGAAATGAATGGCTTGATGTAGGTTAGGCTCAAGAACTTGCCTGAAGCTAATCAGACCAGGTTCGGGTCCGAGACTTCTTGACTTAAATTAATATCTTTTACATCATATGATGATATTTTTATCTTGTAGTAAATCTCTTTGAAATACATATTGTGAAACATCCCTTGTTTTAATTCTTTTAAAATTTTATGACTTAACCATATATATATTATTTAAATTTGATTTTTTTTTCTAAAATCAGGCCGGTTCAGACATTTGTCAGGTCATGACCGGGGAAAAATTGGCCTACTCAAAATATCGGTCTCGGTTCAAAATTCAAACCCATACCAACTTGGCCATGAGCACCCGTAATTATTACATATTTGTGGCTTTAGATTATTGAACACTTACAAGGTGTTGGTGCTAAGCATGGGCAAAATAGAAAAAATGGAATACATATAAATTTATTCACATTAGATCCACAATCATGTTATGCAGATTTTGATTTAACTAAATGCCACTTATTTTTTTATTTTATTTTATTTTTATATTTGGAGAGGGTAAGAATGGGAAGTTAATTTCGTACTCTGATAGTTATGGGTAAAGGCTTTGTGTCACCAAACTGTGGATCAATTCTAGCTTTATGTCTCTTTAGTTTTGATTTTCTCTCCTTTGCACACTGCTGATGTATCTTGGGCGTGAGACATGATAAGAATTTCTACCCTCGAATGCTCTATAAGACTACTTTATCTGCATAACAGACATATATGATAAAGTTATCTTAATTAGTTTGTATAGTAAATTAATCTAGTTGATAACAAGGTTTATATGAAGGGAGATGCAGGGATAGTGAAGAAGTTTGCGTAGAGTGCAATTGCCTGGATGTATGAAATTTATGCCAAATTTTTTGAAATGGAACTTTTTTATGAGGAGTATAATTAGAACGATCCTATTCTCATTCGGAGGAATAATGAATCTGTTTTGTAGTATTAAAAAAAAGAACTCTTAAAAACGGCGGAGAAATTGAATATCAGATGTATCATGTATGGTCCAATTCCAATCCTTGGAGGAGCTCCTTTTCTTGTCTTTTTTCTCTGGGAGGGGAGATTTTAGCTATTTACTTTTTAACTTTCATCTTCTGCTTGTTATAGCAATAATTATGGGTTTTTTTTTGGTAAGCAGCAATAATTATGGTTTTAGGTTTAACCATCGTTGAGAGAATTGTAAAAGAAAGAAGTTTTTAGTCATTGAAATGATTTAGCCTTCCCAGACCAAAGATAATCTATGTGGATGGCTCCTATTAGATTTGGTATTAAAGCTTTCTACCATTAAAGTAGTTACTAAATATCGTAACTCTTTATAGTGTAAAACTCTAAAAATCAACCTGATAACTATCGAAGCATTCAGGATTGATACCAGTACTATGGTTTTTGTTGGTATGATGTGATTGCACTGACTTAATTTTGACAGGCCTTTGACCAATACCTTATTATTTGTTTCCTTTGCTTTGTTTCACAGAGCTTACTAAAATTTCCTTTGCATTGGCGTCCAGCAGAGAAAAAAAAAGAAAATATAATACTAGGATTTTTAATTTTTAATTTTCTATTTATAATCCAACTTAAACATTATTATTATTATTATTATTTTTGTAGTATTTTGTATTTTGCTTGTTTGTGCTTCATTTTTCTCGTGTGCTTGTTTACCGTTCAGCATAATTCATCGTCGTAATGAAATGATGCGTGTGGATCCCAATTATCTTTTGCTTTACATTTCTTGAGAATTGTTAAATGTCTTGAGAGAAATACTTACTGAAGTTGAACATTCTGTATTATTGGAAATTGCAGTGGCTGCTGTTACTGATGCAAATTGGCAATCACTTGTGCTTGAATCTGAGTTTCCTGTATTGGTTGAATTCTGGGCTCCATGGTGTGGTCCTTGTCGTATGATCCACCCAATAATTGATGAGCTAGCAAAGGAATATGCTGGTAAGCTTAAGTGTTACAAACTCAATACTGATGACAGCCCTTCAACTGCTACTAGGTATGGGATTCGAAGTATCCCAACTGTCATAATCTTTAAGAATGGTGAGAAGAAAGATGCAGTTATTGGTGCAGTGCCAAAGGCAACATTGACCACAAGCATAGAAAAATTCTTGTGAGCTGGTAAGCAAAGAAGGCTTCAGCTGGGAAGCTATTTTTCCCATTAGCTTTTTCTCATATAAGCCAATTGTCCTAAGTTTGGATAATTTGCTTGCTTAAATAATCATTTATGGTCCTGTATAGTTATGGGATGCAACCATATTTTCTGTTTTTCTAGATAATTATAGTTACCACTTACCAATATGTTGCGTAAATTTGCTCCAGTTATAGCATGTTTTATATCCATTTTACATTTTTTTCGCTTGTTTCTTCTCACCTTTCACTGAACATTGTTGATCTGTTGTCGTATGGGTATAAACTAAATAAGGTATCTACGCTAATAAATTTTGGGGCCTCAGGGATGTAAAATGGTTCTTCAATTTTGTCAATTCTAGGTTGAAGAATGATCTTTGAACTCCTTCATATTCATTTTGATTCCCGTATATTTCTGTGCGCGCGCGCGCTTAAATTGTGCATTTCTTTCTAGTCGGCTATGTAAATATTCACAATCTGAAAAGAGAAGGCAACTATTCTTTATATTTTGTTATTTTAATAATTATTCACTGTATAATGTGATATAAAAATGTTATCTATGAATCTCTTAACTTACCCAACTCTTTTAATAATATAAAAGCATGATTAATAAATTAAATTAAATTTGTAATAAATAATCTACCATATAAAGCGCGTAAAACTTGGTCTCTACCCAAATAAAATGCTTTGTAGTGTATAAAAATAGGTTTTAATGTTTTTACATAAGTTATCTACATTCGCTCTCAAAATGACATAATTTTGAGTTGAAAAATTAAAAAATTATAATGAAAAAGATTATTATAATTTTGAAATAAATTATAATTACAAAAATACCTTGATTTTTGTCTTAAAAAGACATCGTTTTGGACTTAATGTAGATAAGTTATTTACATTGACTGTAAAAAAAATGAACTCATAAAAATAAGGGCTTATTTGATTGTGTTTTGAATTTTTTGTAGTTAAAACAGTTTTGTAAAATAGTTTATAAGAATTGTTTTTCGGAACAAAAAAAGAAAAAAATGTTTGATAAAATTAATTTTAAAAGAGTTTTACAACTTTAAAAACAGGCAAATTTTCTTGGAAATTTATTTTTTAAAACATATTTTTAAAGTTAAAAAATAGAAAACTTGTTATGATTACAATTTTTTTTTGTCAACTTCATTTTATAATTTTTTTAACCATATGTAAAATTTTAAATACATTTTAATAAAATATTTTTAACACCATAACTAATCGAATTATAATTATATTTTAAGAACAAAGTAACTCACATTGCAAACTAATGAAAACAATAAATTTTTAATTGTTATTTAAAATTGTTTCTAATCAAATAAAAGTTAATTATCGTGCTATTGATTTATTAAGCATAAAAATAAAAGAAAAGGTGAATGAACTTATATGTGTGTGGTTATTATTCACCTGAAATCATTATATCTCTTCCTTTTCGAGTCCAAATACTTATACATCTACTTTGTGATAAGTAATTCTGTGAGAATTTCTCTTCATATATAATTTAATAATATTTTACTTTGTATTCTAATGACATGAATAAATATTATCAGCCACATGTTACATTTTTAATATAGTCAAAAGTTTATCAACATCCAAATGCTCTCAGTTTGCATGCTCTGGAAAGTCTCATTCATTGGTTTTACACTCAAAGCAAATTGCTAAATCCAATACACTCACAGCAAACTGCATCAAAGACATCATAGCAGTTGAACCATACTGTTCCTGCTCTCAATGCACGCATCAAGGTGTTAGCAGTGTCCATAAAAACTCCAGTAGCAAGGCCATAGGATGTTGCATTGGCCCTTCGTATCACCTCCTCTAGATCCCTATGATTTATTTCAAACACAAACACAGAATAACTGGGATTTAAGAAGAGAAACTATTGAAGAATGTAAAAACATGATGGCATTTTGACTCGTGATTTATAGCACACTGACTTGAATCTAAAGATAGATTATACCAGACCAAAGATACCAGCTTTTGCTATCAACATGTTGTCCTGTAATAACAAACAACAAAGAAATCATTTTGATTATTTAATTCTGTTTTATAATTATGTTACTACTTGAACATTTGAGAAAACAATGGGTTGGAATGTAGTAGCCTTTAGAGCCAATTCTTTTACCACCAGATTCTAGTGTAGCACCACTTTCAATGCCTGATCTTATGTATTTCAGGATCTTCTCGAATTGTACAGAATCAATCTGAAACATATACAACCATCAATGTCATAACCTTTTTAGATGCCACTTAGCATTTACTAGAAATCATTTTTAAAAAATAAGAATTTTGTTGGTATGAATGAGCAATTGCAAAATGATAGATTCTTCTACTTACCGAAACCAAAGTTTTTGAAAAACTTGGATGTTATTCTTCTTTGGACCATAGTTTCTCTTTGATTTGAGGTTCATTGAGAAAGAGAAGATAAGAGATAGTCATAGATTCCTACCTGAGTAGCTTGCTCAACCCCAATTTTAAAAGGGTCTCCAACTACACGTTTTTGAGCTTTTGTCTTTTCCACAAATTCATCATATATGCTTTCATGAAGAAATGCGCGAGAACCAGCGCAGCGCAACAACATTGGCCCTGTAGAGACAAAACAAAAGAGCTTCAACCATATTGAATAACTATGCAATAAATAAAAATCTTGAAAATGCATTGTTCTTATAGTGAATAACAAAAACTCAGATTATCAAACCTGACTAAAAAATAAAGCAGAGTATGCAGTGTCAACAGTAGCATCTACATCAGCATCCTTGCACACAATGAAGGGATATTTTCCACCTAGCTCTAGAGTTACTGACTGCAGATTGCTTTGTGCAGACAACCTTAGTACAATCTTGCCGGTTGTACTTGATCCTATGAAAGCAAGCTACAAAATAAAATCAACCAATTTTTAGTTTTCAATTAGCTACTGGCCATATAGGCATAAATTAAGAACTTATGTTAATGCATATATGCATTGGAGTTACATCAACAGATCAAACAACTTTGTGATGTTTCATGGGAATTCTTCCAATAAATCTTTCGAAGTACCTTGTCAACATCCATATGACTATACAAAGCTGCACTAGCAGTAGGACCAAAGCAAGAGATAATATTTAGAAGACCAGGAGGAAGTCCTGCCTGTTACGTCAATTCCATCCATGAGGACTATCACAAATGTAAAGACACATATAGGACCTCAATCTGTTTTCTTATAATCAATTTTGATATTACAACCTTAGGTTCATTTCAAAATGCACCAAAAAATTTCCTAGAGGTCCAGTTAATAACCGTGACAATAACAAATGTGGTAACTTTTATTTAGCTAAGATGCTCACAAAATTGAAATACAAGCCATTATGCACATACATGGAAACATATATAAGTGTTTGTGGTAAGCCTATCTCAAGAAAAAACTTTGACGCATAAAGGGTAGAAAGAGGTGTCTGCTTTGCAATTTTCAGTACAACTGTATTACCACATGCCAATGCAAGTGCAACCTTCCATGAATAAATAAGAAGTGGGAAATTCCAAGGAACAATTTGCCCTGCTACACAAATGGGTTCATGCAACGTTTGTACATGGTGTGATCCATCAACTGGAACTGTTAGACCATGAATTTTATCAGCCCAACCTGAAAGAAAACAAAAGGGAAAGCCAAAGAATGTCAAAACTTGCTACATAATACCACAACATCATGAAATAAGAACTCATAGATAATGTAATTACCCACATAATATCGAAACACACGTACCACCATAGGTATTTCAACATTTGCAGCTTGTTCATAAGTCTTCCCTATCCCAAGTTTCAATTGCTGCAACTTCATCTTTGTGTTTTTCCAATAAATCAGCAAAGAAAAAAATGACACGTGATCTTTCCTAGATGAGATCATCAAAACATTGGTTAAAATGATAGTTTATGAAACTATTGAAAAGCATGTAGCATCTAGTACCCTCAAAAAAATAAAAAATAAAATTGCCAATCAAAAGAACACATGTTAAGAAATTTAAAAAAGAAAAATGGATTAGATAATGTTTTAATACATAAGCTGACATCTTTGGCCATGGTCAGCAGCACTCACAGCACGATTTACATCTTCACTGTTACCTTCAGCAACGTTGGCAATTATATTGTTGTTTCAAACTGAAGTTCATTGTTCCCCGTCCTGTTATATCATTCTCCCATCTGTTATGGCTATTAAGAGGCATACAATATAAAACACATGAAAAAGAAAGAATCAATGCAATGTTATATGGTTGAGTTCTTTTAACAAACAGTTGGAATGCTTAGGGAGCCTTACTTGCTACCTCAAAGGTAAGACACTTGAAATTCCAACTCATGCGCAACTATAATCACAAACCCAAACATCTTAATTTTGTGCTCCAAATAACAATCAAAATTACTGTAATTTCTTAGCAAATGGATCAGGGTTCATATAGTTTCAATTTTGTGATTCAATGGAGGCCCTTACCTGTAGTACTCGTAGAAAAGAGTAGTTGTCTGAATACCTAGCCTCATCTCTTGCCGCTTATCTACTCTGCCACCAGGGACCAAACACGCACACCGATTCTTCCGCCACTCCTGAGTCATTCAAGATTTCCAGCGCTGCACAATTGGACTACAAGTCTACAAGTAGATTCTCACGTATATGTCTATGAAGCAACCCTTTACACTGCTCAACGATGGGGTGTTGCTTGCTAGGTGAGAAAGAAGGGGTTTCGAAAATTTCCCAAAGATGCAACGATGTCTTTCAGCTTTGTGCTTGATAATTACATAAGTGCCGGTGTTTTACCTGTTTTTGGAAGAAAAAAAAAAATAGAAATGAGAAAATTATAGTAGTTTAGTTGGAGCATGTTAGATTGGGGTAATTGAGTGGAGTGAGAATATATATTCCATTATACGATTGGGGTGAGATTCAAATATGTTCTATCCCCTTACCATATTTGAAAAGAATGTCTCTAATTTCAAAATAGTATATAGGAACCTGCGAAGAAATCCAAAAGAAAAAAAAAAAATCAGAGGTGTTCTCAAATTTCAGTTCTAAGAATAAGGAAATTGTTTTTAAAATTATTTCATGGGATTATATTTTCCTATTTATATCAAACAAGTTTTTTTTTTTTTTTTTTTTTAAGAAAAAACAAAAAACTGTTTTGTAAAACACTAATCAAACTGTGCTAGTTTATCTTTTCTCCTTTATGAATTCTGCACCCTAGAAAGAGAAGACAATTAAGAGGTTAGTGAATTAATATTTATATTTTTTTACTTTACTCATCATTCATTAACTATGTTTTTCACTAAGCGATGTGATATGCCAAGGTTATCTTAAATAAGAAGT